AGTGGAAGCTGGATGTGGGAGCTCCTGTCTCCCCAGGGCCAAGGACAGAATGACCTGTCTACCAACAAGCAGGTGAGCACACACCTGGTGCTTTGCCTGACCCTGGGGAATAAGGCAGGACAAGGTGAGTCACAGAACTGAATAACTGAATCTTTACCTTAGACTGAACTAGATCCAATTAAGCACAGGACATGGTGATTCCATCCATTCATTCGTTCGTTCATTCTGTTACAGCTCCAATCATAAAACACCCAGGCCCTGCAGGCTCAGCAAAGAATTAAATGTTAGGACAATCACTGGCAGGATATTTATGCCAATGCAAGAAAAAGAGTCATACCATAGAAATTATTTTTTCCTTCTACTTTCCCTCCCTTCTAACTTAACAAATCAAAACTGAAAACACCTCGATTGCTTTTTAAGCAAAGAAGATAGATTCCAGGTAACTCAAGACTATTTTTCAGTCATATAACTTACTTTTAATTGACCATACAAAATGGGCCTGTATGGAGGCTGCCTCCGTACATTGGTCATTCAGGGGAGAAGGATGGCAGAGATGCATTTTGCTCATAAGCTGACATGTTAGATTGAAACCCTTTGTTCAGCTACTTAAAGATTTTTTTTTGGTCAGTGGTGGGGCTTGAACTCTGGGCCTGGGTGCTGTCCCTCCGCTCTTCAGCTCAAGGCTAGCGCTCTACCACTTGAGCCACAGCACCACTTCCAAGATAATTTTTAAAATAGTAGTTGAAACTACTTGAAGGATCGCTCGCCATGTCAGCTCGCCAGAGTCCGGGGGCCAGCCCTACTGGTGGGCACAGAAACCTAGTTTCCCTCTCTGTTAGGATTTCCTCACCACAGGGATACCAACTTGTCCTGAGCCAGTCACACCCCCAAATCAGAAATCAAATCTTTCCCTTCGAGAGAAGAGTTCAAACACATCGTATCTCAACATCACTCGGACTTCTTTTTCTATCGAACCATAGAATTAATGGCAACACCTGGTCTCCTGGAAGCTATTCTTGTGCACTAACTACATGAGCTTACATTTGTAATCATTAGTCAACAGGTACTAACAAACAAAGAACAAAAGGTCTGCGATGATGTGTGGTATGCTAGCTAGACATAATCAATGATTATGTCTACTAACATCAAATGAAAATAGAAGTCCTGAGAGCTAAATTATCTCTAATTGTGCCAAGGATAAACAAGTCATTCTTAATGTGTTTCCATCTATAAAATTCATGGGCAAATTCTTGTTTAAGCAGAGCTTTTTTAAGACTTTTGGGGGTAGTGGGCATGTTTTGAAGACAAAATGAATCTTATACATATATTTGAATTCCTAATTTCTATGGCACTGGTTCTCACATTTAAAAAGCTAGGATAGAAACTATCATTCTTCAAGAAATAGTTCCCATAAGGCACTCAAGAATTACAGATTGGATATACAAATCAATTAACATAATTCATCACATCAACAGGAGCAAGGATAAGAACCACATAGTTATCTCAATAGATGCAGAAAAGGCATTTGACAAGATCCAACACCCCTTTATGAGGAAAGTTCTGGAAAAATTAGGAATCCATGGAACATTCCTCAATACAGTAAAGGCTGTATATGACAAACCTACAGCCAGCATTATACTTAATGGTGAAAAACTAAAGCCATTTCCTCTTAACTCAGGAATGAGACAAGGATGTCCACTCTCTCCACTTCTCTTCAATCTAGTATTAGAATGCCTAGCTACAGCAATAAGACAAGATACAAACATACAGGGGAGCCAAATACGGAAAGAAGAAGTAAAACTCTCTCTCTTTGAGGATGACATGATCTTGTATTTAAAGAATCCCATAGACTCCACTCCCAAATTACTCAAGCTGATTCAAAACTTTGGCAAAGTAGCAGGGTATAAAATTAACCCCCTAAAATCAATGGCTTTTCTGTATGCCAACAATGAGAAAAGTGTAGCTGAAATTAGGAGAGCAACTCCATTCATAATAGCCCCACAAAAAATAAAATACCTAGGAATTAACTTAACCAAAGAAGTGAAGGACCTCTATGATGAAAACTTTAAAAACTTGAAAAAGGAAATCAAAACAGAACTTAGAAAGTGGAAAAACTCCCATGCTCCTGGATTGGAAAGATCAACATCGTGAAAATGGCAATACTTCCCAAGGCTATCTACAAATTCAATGCCATACCTATCAATACTCCAATCTCATTCTTCAAGGAAATAGAAGAGGCAATCCAAAAATTCATATGGAACAATAAAAGACCCTGAATAGCAAAAAATGATCCTCAACAGAAAGAACAGTGCTGGAGGAATATCAATACCAAATTTCAAACTCTACTATAAAGCCATAGTAATCAAAACAGCTTAGTACTGGCACAAGAACAGACCTCAGGACCAATGGAATAGAATTGAAAACCCAGAAATGAACCTGAAGACCTACAGCCATCTAATCTTCGATAGGGAGCTAAAAAAAAATAGAATGGAAGAAAGACAGCCTCTTCAGTAAATAGTGCTGGCAAAATTGGTTAACTACTTGTAGAAAACTAAAACTAGATCCTTATATATCACCCTGCACCAGAATCAACTCCAAATGGATCAAAGACCTCGAAGTCAAAGCAGACACTCTGAAAACATTACAGGATGGAATAGGAGAAACCCTAGGTCTCCTTGGCACAGGCTGAAATTTTCTTAATAGAGACCCAGAAACACAACAAATCAAAGAAAGGTTGGACAAATGGGACTGCATGAAATTGCAGAGCTTCTGCATGGCAAAGAACATAGCTAGCAAGATCAATAGAAAGCCCATGGATTGGGAGAAGATCTTCACTAACCATACAACAGACAAGAGTCTTATATCTAAAATATACCTGGAACTCAAAAAATTAAATCCCCCAATAACAAATCTTCAAAGAAACAACTGTCCAATAAATAAGTGGGCGAAAGACTTAAAGAGAAACTTCTCTGAAGAGAAAAGAAGGATGGCCAATAGACACGTGAAGAAATGCTCAACCTCTCTAGCCATAAAAGAAATGCAAATGGAAACAACATTGAGATACCACCTCACCCCAGTTAGAATGGCTATAATCAAGAACTCTAATAACAACAGATGCTGGAGGGGATGTGGACAGAAGGGAACCTTACTGCATTGTTGGTGGGAGTGTAAACTTGTTCAACCACTTTGGAAAGTAGTATGGAGGTTCCTCAAAAGACTCCACATAGAGCTCCCCTATGACCCAGCAATCCTACTTTTGGACATTTACCCAAATGTTCACAAACAAGACCACACTAAAGGTACCAGCAGGACTATGTTTATTGCAGCCTTATTTACCATAGCTAAGATATAGAACCAACCCAGATGCCCCTCAGTAGATGAATGGATCAAGAAAATGTGGTATATATACACAATGGAATTCTATGCCTCCATCAGAAAGAATGACATTGCCCCATTTGTTTATATTAAGTGAAGTAAGCCAGGCCCAAAGAAACATAGGTCCCATGGTTTCCCTTATTTGCAATAACTAGTACCTGTCTGAGTCAAGCAGAAAAGGTCAGATAAGTTGATGTTAGGGAACTGAACCCTAATATATGTATTGGAAAGATTTTTTTTTTTTTTTTTTGTATTCAAATATTTTTTTCTTTCATGCGATTGTTTCTAACACATTTATAAGATTATTTTTTTGTTGCTTTGTATGTTCCCTCCCCCACGGTATAACCCCTGCTTTCACTGTATTTGATGTTGTTATAATTTGTGGAGGGAAAGGGGAAAAACAAATTGTTTAAATAGGGATACAGGTGGACCCATTGCAACAATGAGATGGATAAGTTGTTATGTCGAAAACGAACTTTACAACTTTGGTGGCGGGGGAGGAGGGTTGGGTGAGGGGGGGTAAGGGGAGGACGGAGGATGGGATGGGAAGGGGAAACAAAGGAGGAGGCTATAATGCTTGATGAGAAATGTACTCATTATCTTGCCCATGTAATTGTAACCCCTCTGTACAGTATTTTCACAATAAAAAAAAAAGAATTACAGATTGGCTCTCAACGATCATATTCTTAGTCTCTCAAATATGCCTAAATGGTATGCCAAGATCCCAGGAAATTGAAGTGGCATTGAGACTTGAAAAGAGTTCAACTATACCTGAGTTGTGGGTTTTGGGGATACATGTCTGATTTAAAATGTTCGGATTTCTATAAAGAGCCAGAGTCTAGAAAATAAGAAGAAAAAAAAACTCATTGCAGAAGCTCCTGTATCTGTTGATGGAGCTGAGAAGCAGAAGAGAGCCACAGCCCTCTGGAACCCAGAATACACCCCAACAAGATGAGCAGGAAGTACCCAGGACTTAAAGTCAGCCCACTCTCAAATTAATTCTTAGCAGTTTCTTTTGTTGTTGTTGTTGGTGGTGCTGGTGGGTGTGGTTGTGATGGGGTGGCCTTGGGTTTGAACTCAGGGCCTAGAAGCTGTCCTTGAGCTCTTTTGCTCAAGGCTGGTGCTCTACCACTTTGACCACAGCTCCACTTTCAGGGTGCTTTTGTTTTTGTTTTTTTTTTTAGTGGTTAATTGAAGATAAGAGTATCATGAGGACTTTTCTGCCCTGGCTGGAATTGAACTGCAATCGTTAGATCTCAGTCTCCTCAGTAGCTAGGATCATAGCCATGAGCCACCAGTGCCTGGCAATTGTTAGCTATTTCTATGTTGAAATCTCACTTAGAAACGTTCTTCTTTCCCTGTCATTGAGATCAATGCAAAGGGATGATCTAACCATTTTCCTACAGATCTATTGCTCTACATCCTACATATCTAAAGGCCACAAAGACCCAGTGAAGAGGCAGCGTGAGCGTCCTGAAAGCTCACGGCTTTCCTCCTTGCAGCCGAGCTACTCTGACATGCTTCCAGACAGTAACAGAGATGGAAAAGGAAGCAGCATATGGCGAAACTCACAAAATGCAGCCAAAGCATCACCAGTGAGCAAGAGGCCAAACTTCTGTTCCCACCAGAGGATGGAGGAGCTCTGCAGATCCCGCAGCCCGCAGCAGATGGCCCCAGGCAGGGTGGTCTAAGTTTCTCCCTCTGGACCCCACAGGGCGCCTGCTCTTGACAGGAGTTTACAGAGACTCTCACAGGCTCTGGGAGAAGGAAAACAAAGGCTCTATATGAAAGGCTGAGTCCAAATAAGACTGCAACAGAATGGCCATAATTGGCAACAAAGATTATTTCCGGGTAAATTAACATACATTTGAATGGAAATTTTAAGATCATGTCTTGAAAATGACCTGTAAATTTCACCTCCATATTTTTTTTCCCAGTTAAGAGCACAGGAAGAAGTTAGGTGTGGTGGCTCATGCCTGTAATCCTAGATACTCAGGAGGCTAAGATCTAAGGATGGCAGTTCAAAGCCGACCTGAGCAGGAAACTGTGAGAGTCTTTTTTTTTTTTTATTGTGAAAATACTGTACAGAGGGGTTACAATTACATGGGCAGGATAATGAGTACATTTCTTATCAAGCATTGTAGCCTCCTCCTTTGTTCCCCCTTCCCATCCCATCCTCCCCCCACCTCCCCACCCAACCCTCCTCCCACCCCCCCAAAACTGTGAGATTCTTATCTCTGATAAACTTCCCCAAAAAAGTCAGGAGTAGAGCTGTGGCTCAGGTGGTAGACCACTAGCCTTGAGCAAAAAAACCTCAGGGACTATGCCCAAGCCCTAAGTGCAAGTCCCAGGATCAGCAGATTGAGCCAAGTAAGGCTCAATGGTAGAGCATACCTGTCTAGCAAGCACAAATCCCTGAGTTCAAACCCCAGTACTGGCCCCCCCAAAAAAAGAAATAAATAAAAAGAAAAGAATGCAAGAAGATAAAATGCTATTGGGGTATCTTTTTATACAAAAAAGGCTTAGGAAAAGTTACATCAGAACAGACAATCTAATCATACTCTATCAGGAATGGTAACTTTTACAAATAAGCTTAAATATTCAAGCTAATATGAACTATGATAATAATAAGATAACATAGAGTTGAATTTATATGATGAAATTATCAAAAATTGATCAATACAATCCATGCAGATGTTGACATCTTACTTACAGTCTATGTACAATTCCAATATACCTATCCATCACCCTGTGTTCCTTAGTTAATACCCCAAAAGCACAATGTAAAGTATAGCCATTACCTTGTATTAACCAAGAGCAATTTTATAAGGTTCAAGCTGCACCACGAACCTTCACTCCCGTCGCCACATTCTTCCACACCTGCCACTGGCTTGATTACCAGGCGTGTTGCTCTGGTCACATACAGACAGCAAAGTGCACACAAAAAATGGATAACCGAAAGAGACACTGGGCAGTGAAAATGAAAGTGCAGAAGAGAAACAAAAAGGAAGAAAGTTAGAAGTCAATTTCCAACCAAGCATCAAAGCAGTTAGAGAGGAAGTCACCAGCAGTAGCCTGTGGGTACCACGTACCACTGATTCACACACTGAAGTTCACAGCCAAATGAACGTGGTCAAGGGAAACTTAGCTACATAAGTGAAATATATGGTTGAGATACAAAATCTGGAGATAGCCAGGAGGAAGAAATGTGGAAAACAAATTGATGTCATTAAAGGAACTCTTAAAGACATTTTCCATTAAAGCACAAAGGATCTGTGTGGGAAACTGATCTAGACTTAGAAGGGACAAGACAATTCTCTAATTCATGGACAAAATACTTATTCTGTGCCCTAAATTGTATCACTCAAAGACAGCAATCACTCTATAAGCTATTCTTGATATGATGTTGCAAACACCCTAAATCTCAGTGTTTCCAAGATGTTAAAATTATATTGTCCCAAATGAATATTCATTTTAATAATTTTAGATTTCCCTTTGTCTTTATAACTGACAACATCAGAGTTTTTGACATTTTAAGGACAGGTTTTTTTTTTTGGGGGGGGTCCGGTTGTGGGGCCTAAATTCTGGGCCTGGGTGCTGTCCCTCATCTCTTCAGCTCAAGGCTAGCGCTCTACCACTTGAGTCACAACGCCACTTCCGGCTTTTTTCTTTTTGCTTATGTGGTGCTGAGGAATCAAACTGAGGGCCTCATGCATGCAAGGCAAATGCTCTACCACTGAGCCACCTTCCCAGCCCTTGAAGACAGTTTTTAAAGGTCACAGAACAATCAGAATTCTTCCCCTTGATTAAGATCACTTTGCATGGATTTGGCTCAAGGTCATTCTGTCAATCTTTACCATACAATAGAACAAAAAGAAGACCTGGCCTCTCCCAAGAACTGTGAGGAAATCAGGCCCATCTGTCCAGAGACAAGCTGGGGAAGGAAAGAAACCACATTTGGGGCTCCTCTGTCCCCCAACTCTACTTTTTCCATTCCAGTAAAATCCTCTGGAGGTTTTCAATATCTTTCCCTTCAGTCAGGGAACTCTTATCTAGTCCACTCCTGTTTCTCTCGGACCCCTGAATCTTAACTTTTCCCTGAAAGAGAAGTAGACAGGGGAGCAGAGTAAATAAATCACCTTAAAGCTAAGCAATGTGAACCAGGTGATTCAAGTTGGCCTGATCTTTCCTGCTCAAATCCTTAAACCTATCTTTCCAGCTCTTGATTGGGAAGAATTAGTAATAGAGCTAGAACGTGCTGTTTTGTCCATTTGTTTTTCCATGTTTGATTTTCAATAAAAATTTTATCCACATATGCAAAGTATGTTAGCTGTAATTGAAATACAAACACAATCCACCTCTTAATTTATAAACTGTACTCTCATGATGTTCTTTGTGTTCTTGTTTCCTTCTACCCCCTCTCCCTTCCACCCACATCCACTTCTACCAAAGAGGCCATGTGGTTGAATTTGCTCAGTTAGGTATCAACCAGAATCATTTTTTTTTCGGTCAGTCATGGGGCTTGAACTCTGGGCCTGGGCACTGTCTGTTAGCTCTTCAGCTCAAGTCTAGCACTCTACCCCTTGAGGCATAGCACTACTTCCAGTTTTCTGGTGGTTTATTGGAGATAAAGCCCATGCTGGCTTTGAACAGTGATCCTCAGATCTCAGCCTCCTGAGTAGCTAGGATTACAGGCATGAGCCACCAGTTCCCAGATAACCAGAATCATTTTTACCTCCTCTGGGTCTTCACATGTGGGTCTGAGCAAGTCTCCTGGTCCCAGGACTTAGGAAGGAGTGTGCCCTTGGGAACACCAGCTTTCCTGTCCACCGAGGAGTCATCAAACGGATTAGTGTTCCTTGCACTCCCAGAAAGGCCTTACAACCAGTCTTCCCAGCGATTATCCCCAAATTTAGTTCATGTGTAGTGAGTGAATAGTATCTGGGAGCCCACACAGCTGTGAGAGGAAATCTGGAGCATCACAATTTTTCCCTTCAAGGTTTGGCTTATTGTTCCACTTCCTCGCTGGATTATAAGGGTGATAGTGTATTCTGAGTGCACTTTGCATGATCTGTGACAATCAAGTGATTGGTCATGGTTAGCTGAAAAAAATGTCTTGGAGGTGGGATGTCATTTCACGTTCTTCAGGGACCTGTTCTCTAATCTGGCCATTTCTACAAAGAGCAAGCACATGAGAAAGACCAAGAGGAACTGGAACCCCAATGTCTGCTTGTCCAGTAGCACATTCATGGCTTCCTACTCCATTCTGCAGGAATTAAGACCCAAGAGTCTTGGTTACCTAGATCTACATTCTGAGCCCTCGTCATAGTAGGCTGGATGTAGGAATTAAAAAGCAAACATCTTTCCCTCTGTGGTTTCTTACTCTTCCGTTACCCATGATCTATTCATCTCACCAATGACTCACAACCAATTCTTCAATCACCTTTAGTTCCCTAAATGTCAGCAGAAAGCACACAAAGAAGAAATCATTTATTAACTGAACTTGGGCTTGATATCAGCTTACAATCTGGTCATTCTATATGATGAATCCTGATTTCTACTTAAGAATCATCACCTTGTATTAGTTATTCACTGCTGGGGAACAGACCTCTAAAAATGTAATGATTTAGGAAAAGCAACATACATTTCTTAATTTCTGCTGGCGAGGCCCTCAGGATCAGCTGAATTCATAGCCAAGGATCTTGGAGGAAGTGCAAATGTCCACCCGTGTTTGTGTAGGTAGACGGTCCACCTGTCTGCTGAGCCACACAGGCTGGTGTGTTCATGCTGAGTGTTACAGGACAGCAGAGCCCCTCAGCCCTGGGTCTCCTCCAGGGATTTCTAAGTGTTTTTACAACATGGCTTTTGCCGGAGGGCGTGACCTGGGAAAGCAAGAGCACACTCAAGCATCTCTTGTGATTCAGCCTCAAAAATCCCACTGTCTTTGTCACGATATTCTGAGCAGAGTCACTAGCCATCACTGTTATCTGTGGAGGCAATCTCGGGAAGGAAAGAGTACCAGGTGGTGCGGGGTACACATGTGAAGTGGTCTTCCCAAAGCCTCATCACCAACCTAAGCAAATACTTTTATTTTTCATTTGCCTGGGAATAAAATCCAAATATCCTCTTACCTCCATATATACAGTTCATAAACTACTCCAACACTGAAAAAAGAGAAGAAAGCAAACTTGGGCATTTCCTAGGCAGAGATTGCAACATGTTTGCAGGAAATCTCATAGCCTTGGGGTTTAATATGTCTTTCATGAGATTCCAGAAAACAAAATTACATTTTTGTGACTGAAGAGAGAGTAGTAGTAGCGTGGATGGAAACGTGGAGGAGGGGTGGACGTGGATATGAAAGTCCTCTTTTTACATCCTCAAATCTTCTTGAGAGTCCTTTGGTTTACTCGTTTCTATCAGATAATAAGCTCCATTCTATGGGAAACTTTTTTGCCCTTCTGACAGTAACTGTCGTCAAAGAATAACACTAGGCCTCATTCTGCTTCCTGGAACGTCTGACATGACAGCATCCATAGAATTTCTGGAATTTCCTCACTGTCTTCTAGAAAGGTAGAAGCCATGAGTCTAATTTCAAAACAATGTTAGCTTTGTTGCTGCTGGTATTGCAAGCCAGAAACCTGACAATGTTCCACAAAGCAGTGGTTTAAAAATATTCATACTTAAAATACCTAGTTAGTTGCCACATCTTAAAGAACCAGTAAGTTTTCCACAAGATGCTTTAGCATCATCAAGTAATGTTCTCTCAGCCCTCTCTTCCTTGTGAATTTGTGTGTCTTATTGCATCCACTCTCAGTTCCTCACCAATCCCAGTAGGTCATGAGTCTGTACCTTCCATGGGCCATGTCATAAATAGGGCCCTCCGGCCCTCTGGCTCTAGCTGGCTTTTGCTAAGGCAGGATACTGGCAGGAGGCAAAAGTCAAGACAAATGTGTTTCTGTTCCTTTCCTCCTCTCCCTCTTCCTGGGTGGTGGGTGATGTTCAGCCAAGGATCCCAACTTCTGAAGACTCCTCTCCTCTCTCTTACCTGCTGCCCTCTCTGTTGGCCTCCAGGGGGCCCTCTCCTATCCCATGGGTGTTGGAATGTTTTTTTGCAACCTCAGAATCTGCCTACCCATTAGAAAATAACCTGCTCATGAGACTCATTCCTTCAGAGCATGTCATCTTTCCTGCAGGAATCAGGACCAGTGGTGTGTGCATGACTAATTTTTTTTTAACCTTCAATGTGGTCAGGATTTCACATTTCTTCCCCCCCCACTCCCCAATAAAAAGTCAACTGCAAGCAAATCAGCCAACTGTAACAACTTGACATAACTACTAAAAGAATCGAGGCATTTCGCTGCAATGAAAACTAAAGAAAGATGTTTCACCCACATACGTTTAAATTGAGGCTCTATGAAAGAATGCTAAGAAAAACAGGAGAACTGGTCAAGTCCGTGGCCCGTGAGAACTAGTGTGCTGAATATTCTCACCCTGAGAATAATCCATAGCCTATAGGAAAACACATCTGTAACAAGTTTTCTGCCTTTAACGAGACCTAAGAAACGGGGGACCTTTGGCAATTAGAACCACATACATGCAATGTTTGGTTTAAATTAAGCCTTATTTAAAAAAGAAAAGTTTTCTATACTCAAATGTACTCTGCATTTTAACATCTGAAGTAACTATTAATAAAATACTTGAGGTGTCATGGTTGAATTTTTACAAGATATGCTCACCCTTTGTGTCCCTTAAATAGGTTTAAGTTAGCTTTAAAATAATAACCTAATTTCCTGAACATGAGGGAAGAATATGAGTCTTCTAGAATAATTGTTATTCTTTTCCATTTTGGTGACACGAACATTTAACCTAAGATCTGCTATCTGAACAAATGTGTTATCAGCTACAGCACAGGTGCAGCATCATACCACAGCTTTCTAGAACTTACTCTAACTCCCTTCCACCTCCTCAACCACCACCCCACCCTAAGTCTCAGAATGTGAATATTTTAAGTACTCATCTAAGCGAA